CTCTCGAGAGCCATTGGTGGCAGGGATGCCCTTTTACTCATCAGCCTACGTTCAGCTTCACATTCCCGGCTAGAGGAGCGTCGCAGGACCCTTCTGGTTGGGGGCAAAGAATTCTGTGTTGGCAGTGATTTGGATGCCCCTCTCTGTGCCATAAGGATGTAATTGGCTGCCTCATCCCCAAGTGACTGTCCACCGGAGCTACCTGAAGACCCTGCCTGAATGGTTGGAGTCAGCAGAGAGTGCTCTCCTGGACTAGAACCATATTCATCTGAGGAACCATAGTCACTGAGTGAACCAGAAACAGAGGGCTGACGGAGAGATATTCGACTGTAAGTGCCACCATTTCCACCACCCCCCGTTGTCCCAGAACCAATCCCCCCAAACTCAGAACCATGGCCTGAGCTAGAGGATGGGTTCTGGGCAGGTGAAGGGGCAGCTGGGGTGGAGACAGACCTCATCAGAGCATGCTGAGCCTTGACAGGGGTGGGGGTACGCACAGAAGTAGATCTGAGGATGGGCGTGCTGGAGCAGGAACCATTCGTGGTGGGACTTGAACTGGAAGCAACACCTCCTGTCCCTGCACTTACTCCCTCCTCCACTTTTCCTCCATCGCTGGAAGTGCGGGCTCTCGGAAAGCTATGCCGAGGCGTAGGTGATGCATTATTGCTGCTTCCGCCCCCTCCTCCAGTGCTTCCTGGTGGCTCTGTGCGGGGCCGCCTGATAAATCCCACCTGGCTGGGTGGAGGGTTCGGGTGGTGACGGCGAGATGGAACACTGATTGGATTAGATGCAGTTGTGCCTCCCCCTCCCCCCGCTGCAGCAGACTGAGACTTACTGCGTTGGCGAAACTCCTCGCTAAGTGCTTTCATGGCTTCAAGTAGAGTCTCATGCATGTTCTGTGCCACGACCGAATCCTCCACCTGCATCCAGAACTCTCCAGGACCAGTCACTGCCGATCTGCCAACCTCTACAAAAAAGAAGTTCTCAGAGTGGCCACAACGCCTCACATTCATCAGCTGTAGTACTACAGCTGCAGCATCTGAGTTGAGCTTGACAAAGTTGACCGTTTTGTCTGTGAGGCATAGTCGGTAGATACCAACAAGGTTTTTGGCCTGGCCTAGCCCTTTGGGCCAAACCTTAACTTGCCAGACTTCCTTAAAGGCAGGCCCAGGCGATGGCACTCCATAGTCACCAGCATTACCATCACACAGTGCTTTACCTGCAGAAGACAGAGATAAAGGATTGGTTACTCATAAATATATTATATAGGGCAAGTTAAGACAGACAATTTATATCATGCACAATTTGTTTAAAGACACAAGTCACTTTAGATCATGAACATTTGAGCGTTCGAGTATTATTTGAGTATAATGTGAGCTACACATCACATACTGTTACAAAGTTACTTATATACGTCACAGTTATACATTTAGCAGATACCATATATCACAAAAAGTAATTACAAATTTTGCACTACAAGAAATTATATTTTGCTAAGTTAAATCTAGTAAAAATATTTAATGTTTTAAATTTAATATTACATTGTTGTAAGAATATGAGTATTCCACTTATTTCTAGACAAGAAATAAATGTCTAGAAATAAGTGATTTGCTTTAAATCTAGACAGCAAATCGCTTCTGTCAGAAGAAAACCTCTCCAAAATGATAACTTTACAGGAGAAGGAAAAAACCTACTTTACTTTTAATGTATGTCAGTGGAACCAGACTTTTTCCAAGTAATTTTGAGCCATTTCTTCTGGTCCATTCGTCATAAAATTTACACACAATGTAAAGGGCAACAGGCATTTTGAAATTATGTCAAAAACTAAAAAGAAAAAACAAAACAAAATGGAAACAAGGTTTTCTTCAAACAGCACCAATATCTAATTTTTCAAATATTGCAAAAAAAAAGTAAGAATATTATTTCACTTATTTCTAGACACATGCTTCTTGTTTTAAATCATTTTATCTAGAGAAACTCATCCTACTAGAGGATAATTTTGTAATTCATAGAGAAATATTCTAGATTTAATGACTACATGTGAGATATTTTCACTTGGTAAGATACCATTTTTGCACTGTGCCAAAATATGGCACAGCCTAAGCAAAACATCCAAACTGAATATGCCTCAGATATACTGAACACAGCTTTAGCCCACCGTATTTTGTTCTTTAGTATGTGTAATAGAGGGAGCAGCACCAAGGTGGACAAAGGTCATTTGGAAATAGGCTACACAAGGAAATGAGCCATGGCTAACATACCTGCACACTTGAACTTGCTACAGGTAAGAGTTACATTGCTAGTCAAAGGCAAACATACCCCACAGTTGGCTCTGGTATCCAGGTAGTTTAATTGCTTGACATTTACTCACTATGGTCTGTAAGTGCAGCACACATGAAAGGGCCTCTAAAACAACTTGCCCCTTGAGAACAAACATGACCTTCCCGCTCACATCAGCTGCAGAAGGGAGGTAAAGGGGTAGACCGGCAGCATTAGTCAATCGGTACTTCTCTTGCAGTTATGTAAGGCAGCCCTACTGATAAACCTGCTCCACAAAAAACTCATGAACGAGCGTTTTTTTATAACTCACACACTACAAGCACTGACTGGCTCAACAAAAAGGTACACCTCCATGTCCAAAAAGCTGATGCCTGCATGTTCCAATTCAGTGATCCCCTTCCACCCCTGTGCCATTCTGACTACTCCTACCTGCATGGAAAAGCTAGACTTCAGGGCATGCTTCAAAGAATGACAGCAATAAGAAAATACTAGGAGAAGGCTTTGGAAAAATAAATAAAAAAATAGGAAAACAAAGAACAGCCTAACTGCTCTGCATTGAGACAGAGATGTAGTCCTAGACAAAGGCCTACCTGTTGATGAACACTAATACTAATACTACTAATATACTGTCTGAATATAATAACGGCAGACAGCGTCCAGCTTTCTTTATCTTGTATCCAATTCCACTGAAACAACAGAAGAAGTAGCAAAATCCAGATGCTGCACTGATTACTGTTGCTATCCTGCTTTTTACTCATGTCTAATACATCTTCACTCAGAGATATGCTAAGTAGGGGTGTGGAGGGGGCTGCAAAACCCCCAGATTTCATAATTGTTTGACTGCAACTGCTCAATTTTTTTTTAAAGCTGCACACAGACCCATGTGCACTCGTTTTTAATTGTAGAGCTTGTATTTTTATTTTGTTTTATTTTTATAGCTGCAAAATCTGAAGTAGCCATGCACTGTTTAGTCAAGGATTGTTTGGGGAGCGTCCCTAAAACACAAGCAAGTAAGTGCATGCTGAATTATAAGCTGTGTCCCAAAGAGCTTTAATATTGTTTTTAACTTTAAAGCTGCACTATGTAAGATTTTTTGTTCAAATTAAAAAGACGGAGCGTTACTGAGTCAAAAAATACTCTAAAGCATGGTGTCTGCGCTGCTGAGTCATCCTGCAAGTGTCAAACTGAATTTAGAGTTTTTCATACATCATATGTCTTTATGTATTAAAAATCACACGCTTGGCTCAAAAAAGAAGTCCAGTTCAGTGTTTACACCTCAAATATTGTTCACCACGTTTAGACTAAGTTCTCCTTCAACGCACTCACAATCATCAGATTAACAACCATATCACATTTTATAACAATAAAATAACAATTCTCTCATTATTTTTGTTTAAGGATAATTTCCCACATTCTGTGTGTGTTTGAGTGCTGAAACTCAAAATATACTGTAGCTTCAGTGGGTATGACACAAACAGTTTTCGTGCCTCATATCAACAATCTGATTGGTCGCTGCTCAGCTCAGTTGCATAAAGTTTGTGCAGAAGGAGACAGCAGAGAGAGCAGGGTGTACATCAGAGGTTTAACGTGTCAGTTGTATGTGTACACTGTCATCTGTCACAGCATTGAAGTGCATTATTACACATTCTACTGGTTGTAAATTATCTGAAAAATCACATAAAAAGCACAGCATTTTGCATGACGTCTCTGTGTACGCCATGTGGGTGCTACTTAAAATCAGTTCCTGCCTTCACTCCTACATTCACCTGTGAAAGCAGCACACAACGCCATCTCTTGTTCTGCTAAAGGTATTTAAGTGACCACCAGCCCCAGAGCACCTGTTTAATCAGTGTGAGCAAAAAGCCTACACAGCTTGACCAGTTCTCTCTCTCTCTCTCTCTCTCAGCATGTGTTGACAAAACACCCTTTAGGAATTTTTGGTTCCCATCTAAACATTTGAAGACGTTCATAATCCTGTGGTAACTTGCTGTATCAGTCTGAAAATATGTGATGTCTTTGTGTAGCTTTTCTAATGCTCTGTGACTTGTCCAATTACCTCCTGTTTACGAAGCAGCACATTATTACATCTGGGTATATAGTTTTCTACCTGCCACCAGCTTAGATAATCATATAAACAACCCCCTGTTCATGTTTGAGGGCATGCATGTTTTGCTTCATCACCTTCAATAACTTCACGTGCCTTCGCCATGGGTGATTTACTGCACAGGTTTAACAGGGATGAAGCCCAGGTGCTCTAAGTGATTCCAGGCCTCAGATTATTTTAATGTATTCATTTATTTATCCTCCACCTACCTCAAAATATACCCCAGTGATTATCTGTTTACACAGGTCATACATTGATTGGACGTATTTATTCAAAGCCTCCTCTCTGATGCTGATTGGCTGCTGTGTGGGATGCATCTGTAAGCTAGAACCAGGTACTACTTAGCGAAATTGAAGAGCTCAAAGACGAAATACTCAAAAGGGAAAAAAAGAGTAGACTTTGGTGAAAAAGGCTCCCAAAATAATGGGAATGTTAGTTCACTACTAATTGAGGTGTTAGTGTCAGCTAAACGCTTGCCCACCAGCTTGCCCATAGCGAAAATGCAGTGTTAGCAGTACAATGACTTCAAGTTAGTATGACATTGTCTTCCTAGCCAAGTAACACGAGGACATTATCAAATACTTTTCAGTCATGAATAGAAGAAGAACGAGGGAATGGTGAACTACTTTTATTTATTATTCCGCAGAACAGCTCTGTAGAGTTTTAGTTGGGAAAAAGGGATCATTGTGTTTCATCATTGTGCCCCTTGTGTTTCAGGAGGATCAAATGATAGACTATAGCTTGCGTAGAGCTAGGCTGTTTCAGTGGTTTTACAGAGTAAACTCTACCGCACACCCAGGGCCAGATTAAGATCTTTGGGCGCCCCAGGTCACCAAGGTTACCCATATGGTAGATCTGTGCACACTAGTGGAGTAGCACATAGCACACAAGCTCAAGTCGAAACTTAGCTGAAGTTCAGAGAGCTTACTGTCTTACTGTACTCATATAGGTTTAATGGAATAAAACCTTTCAGTGAATTTATTGCTTTTGGTATCAGCTGTATAACTTCTTGCAAATCAGTCTTCTTGCAGTTTTCTGCTTTACTAGGTAAAATGTTATGACGTGAGTTGGCTAGTCACAGAAGCTGAGGTGAAAACAGACGAATAGCACTTTAGACTGACTGAATTCTTGGTGTAAATTTCACACTATATGTGACCTATTATGGCCCTTCATAGTCTGGTTTTGGAACTGCTGTAATAGAGAGGTAATGAGTGACACTGAGAAAGTGAGCAGTGCTCAAAGTCTAAGTCAGGAGAGAACTCAGTTATGCTGTGTTGCGTTATACTTTGGCATCTCACCACTGGCTTGTGCTGCCGTGGGAGCATGGGAGGTGTGGCCATGCAGAGCGGCCACACAGAGAGGCCCTCGGGAGGCACCATACTTGCGGTAGGACAGACATTTCTTGTAAATAAGTTGTTGTTGTTAGTTAATGAGGTGCTGATGTGTTGCTTTTGTTGTACTGTGCTGGGATGTGGGATAGAAGTGTCAGTGTTAGTGCCTGCCATAAAGTGAAGATGTGTAATTAGAAATGACCTCCCTGCCATGTCAGTTAGTGCTAAACGACAGTTCTCCCTTGCTGCCTATTCAAAAAAAGAACATTTGCCTTTAAAGCGCAACGTGACTGATTAGATGGCTTTTAAACTAGACCCTTAGGGCCCATGACCACCTATAGTCCCAGAGTCCACAAGCAGGCTGAAGAACCTGTGGGCTTCATGATGCAGCTGGGCTGTTTGCATCTGTAAGAGACGGGAAGTGAGATTCTATTGTGAGCTACTTGCATGCATGTACTCATCTCACTTCATTTTCTTTATATTCTCACTGGGATTTGCGTACGTGAGAGAGAGAAACACTCAGAGGTAGAGTGAGAGTGTATCTGCCTAACAGAACTGCACTTGATTTTTGCTTTGCAAGACTGTGCTAGTGTGTGTGGTTGAATGTTCTGTAGCTACTTGTATTTTGGTCCGTGAAAACATTTAGTAGGATAATGACGTATTTCTGAACCTATTACTTATGTTTTTATACTGCACAGTGTGTCCAGTGCAAAAGAGGAGAGAGAGACAATCACAACCATATGAAGCGAGGTGTACGGGAGGATACCCCTCTCTCCGCTCTGACTCACCCGTCTGCCGCCGTTTCCAGAACATTGCAGTTATGCTAACAAAACTGCAAACCTGCAAAGGGTGTGTTCTGTTTTGCTTTTCCTTCGAAAATTGAAGGATGTGATGTAAAAGCAGTGCAAAACATATAGACAAAACATAAAGTGCATGTCTGTGTAATGTGTGTACTACTACAGCTATACTATCCTACACAGTACTGTGCAAAATCTTAGGCACCTAAGCACATTGTTTACAAGCAGTGAGTGCATTTGTGCTCGGAGTTAATGGTGTTTACAGAAGAACAAAATGTCCTTTAATGTATTTTTAATGTAAGTTAATGTAAGTTAATGTAATGATGTTTTATTCCATTTTATTTTTTCCAATTTCTATAGAACCATTTCTATTGTTCCACTCTTCATGAATTTCACAGACAATGTAAAGGGTAGCTGGCATTTTCAAATAATGTACACTACTAGTCAAAAGTCTGGACACACCTCACTGACTATAAAAAACATTTTGATCTAAAAGTTAATTCTTGAATGCAAATTAATTTTTAAGACAAATGCAAATAGTGAAGTTAATGTACAGAAGATAATGTACAAAATTATTTTCTAAAACAAAACTGTAAACATAAATGCAAAAAAAGGAAATACAGACATCCCATATTTTGACTTTTTCAGTCGTTGCATAGTTGTATATTGCATTAAAAATATATTTTGATGCCTTCACATTTATCATATAAAATCATATACGTTTCTGTCTATGCTTCCACTGTAAGAAGACAACTCAACACTGAGTCTGAAAGGATGTGTAGCTGTCGGGAAGCTGTTACTGATAAAAGAAAGTAGAAAAAAAAGAAGAAAATTTGCAAATCAAACAAAGAAGCTGCTGATGTTCTCAGAACAATGGAGAAACTGTCCATCTCAAAAGTCCAGACCTCAGTATCACTGAATGTGTTGCGGATTACTTGGATCGTGAGGAGAAAATGCAACCAACTTCTAAGACTAAACTTTGGAGAAGTGGAGGAATGTCTCTGCTGATTTCTTTGAAAAAGTGAAAGCAAGTCTCCTGAAAAGAATGGTGGACATATGGAATACTAAAAGAATATTGGAATAAAAAACAAAATTATGTTTAGTTGTTGAGGTTTCTGTGTGTAATTTCCTGCTAAATATATGTTTCTACTTTTGTCCTGATGTTAAAAAATGAATAACTTGTACCGGCTGTGAGCAACTTTTAATGGTCATTTTGACTGGAAATAAAATAAATGAAGGGTTGTGATTTTTACATAGTACTGTCTATATGTGTCACAGAAACAAAGCCACACATGACTACTTAATAGCTGTCTACAGTTCTCTCTCCTCTCTCTCTCTCTCTCTCTCTCTCTCTCTCTAACTCTCTCCACCACTCTTACCTTTTACTGAACTGCCCTGAGACATATACTAAACTAGACTAAACTATACACACTTTTAAGTGAGAGAAAATGAAAGAGGTGAAGCCTCATTGAGCGATAGGTGAGCTGCTAGAGAGAGAGAGAGGCAGAGAGAAAATGTTTTGCTAAATAATGGACAGCTCCAAGTTAAACCACAGCTCAGAGTGGACCTCACACAAACACACTATTCCTCTGTGTTATTCTGAAGGAGCCCTTTGACAGTCTGTGCAGTGTTTACTTAATGAATGCTTACTTCAGATCCATTTTGCATAAGCACACACCACTTCAGGCTGGTGATGCGGCCTCTCAGCGCCTTTGATCTAGGAACACGACGTGCCACAAGTTCCTACCGTACACAACACCACCGCAGTGAGTGAGATTAGACAGACTTTTGGCCCAGAGCTCAAAATCACAGCAGAACCACAAATCTAAAATTTAATGACTGTTTTAGCCGGTCATCTGAAGTTAGGAGTGCACCATACAGTTGTTTGCAAAGGTTTGAGCACCCCAGGCCAAATGACATATTTTGTTGATTAGAAAAGAAGTAAACACAACCTCTGCAGAGAACTAGTAAAAAACTGTTTTCTGTGAATGTCAATGTACATTTATGTCATATTTGATGAACTTAATAAGAAACCAGTAATCGTGGCATGCTTCAGCTTGCATTTTGTTGAGTAGTTCATGGTGAATTTTGAGGTATGTTTTGGATCTTTGTCCTGTTGTTCTCTTTTCAGCTTCAGTTTCTTGACTGACTCTGTCACATTTGCCTCTAGAATTTGCTGATATTTTGTGGAACCCATTCTCCCATCTACCTGTGCAATGTTTCCTGTGCCTCTGGCTAACACACAACCACAAAGCATAACAGATCCAGCTTAACAAGGTGTGCTTTTCACCAAACTCTGCTCCTTTTTTTACTCCAAACATTTGGTGATTGTGGCTAAAGCATTCCATTTTTACTTTATCAGTCCACAGCACTTGTTTCCAAAATGCCTCTGGCTTATCTACATGTTATTTTGCATACTTTAGACACTGGTTTTATGATGAGGTTGCAGGTAAGGTTTCCTTCTGATGACTTGTACATGCAGATCATGTTTGTGCAAGCAATGCTGCACAGTAGAACGGTGCATCAACATTCCTGTGTCAGCTAAACCTATCTGCAGGTCCTCTGCTGTCATATGGGGGTTTTGTTTTACCTGCAGTTCTACCTGAAACTTCTCTTGCTCTTCCAGATCTTGCCTCGACTTTCACAGTTCCCCTTAACTGCCATTTCTTAATGACATTTCAGACAATGGAAACTATGAGCTGTAAGTGCTTTTTGTATTTTTATAGTCTTTCTATGCTTTGTAGGCATCAATCAGCTTGATTCTCAGCTCCTCAGCCAGCTGCTTAGAGGAGCCTATGGTTATTGAGGGTTAGCACAAAGGTTGAAGGGTACGAGAATGTATTATGCTCAGGAATTGTCATCAGCTGACAATTCCTAATGACAGCTCCTGAGCTGCCTAAACTGTAATGACAAGTCAATTAAGGCCTATTTTAATGCCACAATTATTATATATATTTTTCTATTTTTACAAAAAAGAAATATAATAATTGTGCTTAGGAATATTGTCTGATTTAACAATGTCATGGCTATGTAAAATTAATGATCCACATTTAGAGTGTTAATCCGTCTTATGGTCATTGCACTTCATTTATGGTTCATAGTGTGAAAAATCATCAGTTTTTGGTATCAGTATTGGCCACAACAAGACGTTAATCAATGGCCCAGAAATTCCATATCAGTGCATCCCTAATCTGAAACCTAACAAAAAAAAAGATTAGAAAGCACCTTCATATTTACTGTGTATGAAAAAATCTAACTCATTTTGGCAATCACGTCACAGAGTAGGCCTAAAAGCTATGATGGAGCCTTGAGCTAAATACTATCATGAAGTCCCCATAAAAGCTTGCTAATACATAGACTTGTGCACAAATTGCTGTTTTCCACAAACTCTGACGCCAAAAAGGATGACTCCTGACTACTGAAAATGATATGTGGTTGTTTTTGTGTAATGCAACAACAACAGCTAGGACAGCCAAATGTATCTGTTAAACTATACAATGCAAAACAGCACGCTTTCATTGAGCTCAGTTTAGGAAAGGTCAGGCACTTTGTACAGAGTAAAGCTATAATTAGTCCAACTATAAGGTATCACTTATTTCTGGTTTGAGAAACTTACACACACACACACACACACACACACACACACACAGCAAAACAAACACAACACTGGTTCATACTGGTTCATTTTTATCCAATTATTCTGCCCTTGATTTCCCCTTGAGTCTGCATGGCAGTAGTAATCTACCTCCACCACTGGATCAGATTAAATATGTGATTAGCGCTCGGCCTGAACTACTTCCTTGTGCCTTAATGGCATTCCGCACACTTAAACACACACAGGTTTGTTTTGTGTAAGGACTTGGGCCTCATTTATGCGTGACTATAGTACCTATATATTATAATAACAGTAATAATATGGTCTATATGACATATATATGTAATTACTCAGGCTGTCACAAGATTAAAATAATTAATCACAATTAATTGCATCAGTTTGTACAGTCAATTGTGATTAACCATAGTTGTCTTATTTGCTCGAGTTTAACCCTAAAGAGTTTTTTGTTTGCAATTAAAAAGTGAGGTATTTTGTTATACCTATGTACATGGGCAAAATAAGCTTCATCAGAATTTATGTATTACCTTCAATAATCCAACATGAACCAGCTATTTAGTTCTAACGTTCCTGATATTACTGCTATATAAGTACCTATTTATAATAATAATTTGGCACATTCGTATTATATTTATGTAAGTACCTACATGTAATAAAAATTTGCCCAATATGTATTACATATATATGTATGTATATGTAATAATAATGATCCAATACATATCTATAAATAATAATATGTTCCATATGAATTATATATATATATATATATAATATCTACTGGTAGTAGTATGTCCCATATGCATTGCATATGTATGCATGAATCTACAAGTAATAATAATAGTTCCATATGCATTATCTATATGTGTAACTATCTCTATATAGTAATAATTTTCTAAGACTAATCCTAAACCTAATCCTAACTGGAACCTCAGTAACCAAATAGAAATGTTTTTGTCCTTTGAGTTTTGAACAATGAATTTTATTGGTCCTAATATTGTAAGTTGGTCCTGTTTTTTATTCCTGAAAATATATGAAAACAAACACTCACACAAACACACACACACACACACACACACACACACACACACACACACACACATCCTCCCTCTCTATCGCATACCACACAGTTATCGTTCTCTTTATTGAGGCTGTAAAAGTCTGTTTGCTCTGATCACCTGATGAACTAGATCTATCTGCTGTCAGCTGCCATGATATCGACGGGGCGGCCCATTAGCCACACTGACTGATTGGTATTCTATGTGCACACACACACACATGCACATGCACACACACATGCAGAGAGAAAATAGGTCACCAACAGCAGTGCAGTACGGTTTGGCTTGGTCAGTGAAAGAGGCATGCTCTTAACAATAACACACATCTGAGGGACTTTATAACCTCGGCTAACTTCACAGCCTCAGAGCAGCTCCAAGTAGGTGCTTTTGTTTAGACACACTCACAGTCCTGACCAAGCAAGTTTAACTCCACTCTATTTAATCCCACAGCAGATTAAATCTTACAAGCTGCATTTGCCGCTAGTGTTAACAAAAGCATGGTGCAATGGATATGTTTTATTTCTTACTCCTAGCACACTGAAATAAGAGGAGAAACTGTCAGAAGTGCAGATGTTAAACTTTCAGTTCATACAGAGCAATGCAAACACGACTGCTACTGTTATTGTGATAAATTATGTCACAGGTGGAAGGTGGAAAAGTCAATATATGTATTTTATTGGAGGGGTCAATTATCATTACTGTTGTTGTGTAAAGCTTAATAGTAAGTAAAGAAAAAATATCAGACGGGTATCGGTATTGGCTGATACTCATAGTTTTAATATGACTAACAGAAAAGAAAAAGTGCTATCATGCTGTCTCTACTCTCGACTTACAAGAGTTAGAAGTAAAAAGCCAGTTGTACAATCTGAGATACAGGGTTTAACCTAATGTCTCTCGTCAGAGTGGGTTTGAGGTTTTTGGGGGAAGAGGCGAGGGGGCTGCGGCAGCACTTTCGGCCATGTGTGTGTTACCGTACACCGGCACGGGGAGCCAGAGAGGATCAGGGAGTGTTGGGGGCGGGGGGGGTAGAGAGGCACGGTTACATAAGAGCTGTTTTGAAAGTGAGGAGACGACGGCCAATAACAGTCTAAAAAATCAATCCACTGACAAAGGAAACGAT